CTAGCTAGTATCATTGAAGTAATTGTTGGTGGCTTGGCCTTCGGAGGGGAGTCCACCTCAGCCCGAAAGGCATACACCCGACAGTTCAATGTTGAGCACCAAGCCGCTAAAAAACAAACGCCGAAAACCTTATCTCCTTTTCAAATGACGATCTGAAGAGAGTGTCTATCCTCCATGATGATGCATTGGTGGTTTCAATGGTGATTGCCAACTATGAAGTAAGGAAGATCCTTATAGACAACGGTTCCTCGACCGACATTTTGTTCAATGAGGCATTTGAAAAGATGTAGATGACACTAGACCGGCTATGACTAATTGACATGCCCCTAGTTGGATTCTCTAGAGAAATTGTAAGGCTAGAGGGAAGAATTGCCCTACACATCACGGTAGGGATGGAACCTTGGCATGTCACCCAAATGATTGAGTTCTTTGTCATGAAGGTCGATTTGCCTTATAGTGGCATCATCAACTGACTAACCCTTCATGCACTCAAGGCCGTCATCTTCTCCTATCATCTTGCCATGAAGTTCCCCATGGAGCATGGCATAGAATTGGTTAGGGGAAATCAGCAAGTTGCCTAACAGTGCTATATTGCAGTGCTAAAAGGAAAAAACAAAGAAGCCCTACCAGTCGAAGGGATCGACCTCAGGGATGAACCCTCCAACCGAGGTCACATAGTTGAAGACCTCATTTTAGTTCCCCTAGACGAGGCGGAGCCTAAGAAGATAGTACAAGATGGGTCTCTCCTCCCTCAAGACATACTTTCCTAACTGGTAAGCTTCGTCAAAGCTAATGTTGATGTATTTGCTTATTCTATTGTTGATATGCTAGGAATTAACTCCTCGATCATTACTAACAATTTGAGCATGGACCTGAGATGTAAGACGGTTCATAGAAGAAGAGGAACTTTGCATCGAAATTGGAAATCTATCGAAGAGGAGGTAGACAAGTTACTCAATGTCGACTTCATAAGAAAGGTACACTATCCTAAATGGCCATCTAACGTAGTCATGGTCAAGAAGGCTAATGGGAAATAGTAGATATAAATTGACTTCACGAATGTCAACAAGGCCTATCCTAAAGACAACTTTCCTTTACGAATAATGGATCACCTGGTGGATGCCACTACAGGATATGAGCTACTGAGTTTTATGGATGCCTTTTTAAGCTATAACTAAATAAAGACGCACCCCGACGATGAGGAAAAAATGTCATTCATCACTAAGTACGGGATCTACTGCTACAGGATGATACTTTTCAAATTGAAGAACACTGGGTCCATGTACTAAAGGCTTATAAGATTTTCAAAGAATAGATCAGGTGAATCATCGAAGCCAATGTTGACGACATGCTTGTGAAGAGCCTCAAGGCAAGGCAACACATCACTGATCTTGAAGAGACATTTAATGTGTTAAGGAAATACAACATGAAGTTGAACCCAATCAAGAGTATGACTTCGAGATTTTTTTGGGAAAATTCCTCAACTTTTCAGTCACTCAATGGGACATAGAAGCCAATCCTGAGAAGATACAAGGCATTCTAGACATGGACCCCCCACGACCGATCAAAGAAACTCAACTCATTAGCCAAATTGCAGGCTTTATCTGATTCATGTCAAAATTGGCCAATAGATGTCTTCCCTTCTTATAGTTTATTAAGAAGTTGAATGACTTTCAGTGGATAGAGGATTGGAAAAAAGCCTTTGAAGAGTTGAAAGCATACTTGGCCTCACCACCATTGCTCACGTGACCCATTCCAAGAGAGACTTTATACATGTACCTTTCGGTTGGGGATGAGGCAGTGAGTTTGTTATTAGTTCGAGAAGATGAAAAGATGAAATGACCGGTGTACTATGTCAACAAGGTTCTCCATGATGTCGAGACTAGATACTTAGAAATAAAAAAGACAATCTTTGCACTAATGATTTCGGCCAGAAAGTTGAGGCCTTATCTTCCAGCTTGGTGTTGACTAACCAACCTTTGAAGCAAATACTGATAAAACCAGAGACCTTGGGTCAGCTAACCAAGTGGGCCATTGAACTATTAGAGTTAGATCTATAGCACTTACCAAGACTTGCAATAAAGGCATAAGCCCTGTCAGATTTCTTGGTTGAGTGCACTTCCAGTTATAATGGCACTTCTGAAGAGGAAGAACCTTGGCCATCCTGGACTTTACATGTTAACAGATCCTTCAATACTAGGGGAAGTGGAGCTGGCCTCATCCTCTTAACACTAGATGACAACAAATTGGAGTATGCACTTTGGTTCGACTTCCCTGCTTCAAACAATGAAGCTGAGTCTGAAGCCTTACTCGCCAATTTTCAGCTAGCAAAAGACCCTGGAGCCAAGCTCATTAAAGTCTTTAGTGACTCTCAATTAGTTGTGAATCAAGTGAATGAAGAATACAAGGCCAAAGAACCTATCATGACCAAGTACCTGAACAAAGTCCAAGATCTAGTCAAGCAGTTCCAACAATTCACTCTGCATCAGGTACTTTGGGTCGAGAACTCTCAGGCTAGCACCCTGTCCAAGCTAGCAAGTTCTTTGATATCAACCCTCAGCCACACAGTGCATATAGAAAATATAGCATGCTCCAACATAGAAGAAAAGAATGTATGCCCTATTTAAGTTGAGTCTTGCTAGATGGATCCCATCCTCACATATTTACGGAATGGGTAGTTACCACGAGACAAGAATGAGGTCAGATGGTCAGACGACATTTGGTACGATATGTCATACTAGAGGACAAGTTGTATAGAAGATCCTTTACCTTAACTTACCTCAGATGCCTACGCCAAGTCAAGGGAGAATATGTATTGAGAACAATTCATGAAGGCCTTTACAACAATCATCTGGGGCAGGGCCCTCACAAAAAAGACACTCAAACAAGGATACTTCTGGCCATATATTTAGAAGGATGCCATCTAGTTGGTGCAAAAGTGCAACCGATGCCGACTACACTCCAACACTCCTCATCAGCTTGCCACAACACTTTCGACACTTAATAGTCCTTGGCCCTTTGTAAAATGGGGAATGGACATTCTAGGGCCTTTGTCTCCACCTATGGGGAATAGAATATACTTGATAGTGGCAGTTGACTACTTCACAAAGTGGGTGGAGGCCAAAGTGTTGGCAACCATCACGGCAAGGACGATCCAAAGTTTCTTTTGGAAGAATATTGTTTGCCGTTTTGGCATCTCAAACATGCTCGTCATTGACAATGGCTTCCAATTTGATGACTCTAAGTTTAGAGAATGATGCAGAAGCCTGGGTATAAGGCAGTAGTACACCTCGTTCTATTATCCTCAACCCAATGAATTGGCTGATGTCACCAATAAAACCATCTTGGGCAGGTTAAAGACGTGATTGGATAGCAGCAAAGGACTTTGGGCAGATGAGCTACCCAATGTGCTATGGGGATACTAAACAAAACCTTAGATGGCCACGGGAGAAACCCCTTTTAACCTAACATACAGAACAAAAGCCATCATCCCAGTAGAGATCGGCCAGTCGATGGTTCGAACGGAGGCATACTTGAGTTATCGCTTATTCTTTCATTGTGACTTTTGCTTCCTTTGGAGCTCCCCTCTAACTTGACCATTGGAGTCCTCGTCCTTGGGAATACTCTTGGGGCCTTTGACATCTTTTCGCTCTTAGCAGGTGAGACCAATACCCCTTGGACTTCGGAAATTACTTTGCTGCCCTCAGCTCCAAATTTGGTCACTACCCCTACATTGGATACCTTTATGAAATTTTCTTGTCTTTTTAAGCATTGCTTTTGAACTATTATTGATCCAAACAGTCAGACCATTTGTCTCGAGAACCATCCAGTTATCTGGTTCTGTTTCACCCCTAACCTGATCTTTAGTAAAAAACTATTGACTTGGCCAATGATTCATTGATTTAGGTGGTTGAACCGTCGATTCTGACAACAGTTTTTAATTATTTTAATTATTTTTTATGTTTTTACTTTTACTAATTTGAAAGAAACATCCATTTGAGCCAAATCATCGAACCACTGACCTGAAAACTGGTGTCCAAAACTGTTCCGGTTGTGAGTCGATTTTTAAAACAATGTTTTTAAGTGTAATAGGGTCTAGTGAATCGCCAAGATGCGAACCGAGTAATAGACTCCTTTCACACAACAACCGACTTATTATTTTAGTGTCCAACTATGATATGGAAAAGATATCATATTTGGGCTATTCAACAAATTCCAAGGGAAATTCTTCCTTTCACAAGCACATGCTTCTGATCAGCCATTTCTTCGAAATATGACAAAAAATGGTCAAATGTTAGATTTGTCTTCCATCAGGCTTTGCATGCATGGTTTTCATGATCAATGGATGATTTATAATTTGGAACCTAGCTAGAGCCTTCTCCTTCTCACCGACTGAAGGGTTCGGGTACCACAGAAGTTCTCAAACTTGGAAAACCATTATTGTCAATTGTGGTTGTCTGTGATTGTGAACGCACATCGATTTTGGGTTCGACCTGTTTAAACCAAATTTAATTTTGAGGGTTGAACGGACGAACAAGACATTTTAAATTGGACCAGTCTAGACTTACTGGTCCAGAATAATTTTTAGATTAGACTAGACCTGGTCCATTTGTAATGAATTTATATTGGATTGTATTAAGCCCAATATCTTATCCATTGAGAGAATGTAAGAATACAGGTGTGGAATAGGTTTGGAGTTTGAACCGATCTAAAATAGTATAAATTATTCATCGGATTAGATTGGACGTAATGGATCACATTAGACTGGATCGGATTGGGCCAAATCCATCTGAGGTATCATACTTGTGAAACGTTTGACTGGTCATTATTTTCCTTTATATCAAGAACCCACATGCTTGGTTTAACTCACGTGAGTATGGGACAGGTGTCGATCTAGGAAGAGGAAGAGTTGCAGAAAATATAGGTAACTAGGTAGCAGAACCGATCATGGATCCGAAGTATGTATATATATACCCAATCCGCATTGAAACGCACACACAATTGTTTTCTTCCATAATCAAGTAGAAAATGGAGAGCTTTCATTCTCTTGGCAAGATAATAAGCCATCTCTGTAGCTGTTCATGTATCAAAATAGCTTGCTTTCGCAGATCAGTTTGGGGTCTGATGGTCCTTTTGTTTCGTTTCATTCTCTTTCACATAAACCCATTTGTTGTTCTTCTTTGTTATTTCGTCTCTGTTTCCTTTCTGGGTTTCTTAATTCTGAAACTTTTGAATCCAAGAACCGATTCTTTTAAACCCAAGGACTTGGATATATTCTTCACTTCAGTGTCTGCGACGACTGTTTCCAGCATGTCTACCGTCGAAATGGAGGTCTTTTCCAACACCCAACTTGTGTTTATAACCATTTTAATGTTTGTAGGAGGGGAGGTTTTTGTTTCAATGTTTGGGCTTCTTTTTACCAAGTACAAGTTAAGGAATCGAGCCAGGATCCATGGCAGTAGAGTCGGTTCTGTAAGTAGTGAGTCTATGAGTCCCACGAATCCCGTGGATCAGCTAGAGATAGAGTTGGGGATGGTAACTTTGTCTGAAACTGAATCCAGGAAACCCAGTAGTGTCGACCTTGTGTCTACAGTCGAATCAATCATGAGTACTAATGAAGAAGAGTTGAGATATAATTCCATAAGATATCTGGTTTTTGTAATTATGGGTTATCTTCTAGTGGTTCATATAGGGGGATCTGCATTGGTTGCACTGTATGTGAGCCTTGTTACAAGTGCAAGAGATGTACTCAGGAACAAGGGCCTTCAGATCCCCACATTCTCTATCTTCATTACTGTCTCTACGTTTGCAAGTTGTGGTTTCGTCCCTACAAATGAGAACATGATTGTCTTCAGCAAGAACTCTGGACTCCTCCTACTTCTTATCCCTCAGGTTCTTCTTGGGAACACATTATATCCGTCTTGCTTGAGATTTCTGATATGGGTTTTGGGGTGGTTTACTAAGAAGCCCGAGTTCAATTACATGCTGACGAATACAAGAGAGATGAAATACTTTCACTTGCTTCCTAGTTTGCATTCTTCTCTTTTAGTTGTTACTGTTTTCGGGTTCATTGTGGTTCAGTTTATACTCTTTTGCTCTCTGGAATGGAACTCACAAGGCTTGGATGGGATGGATCCTTTTCAGAAACTAGTGGCTGCCCTGTTTCAGACTGTGAACTCGAGGCACACTGGTGAATCAGTCATCGATCTCTCAATCCTCTCGCCCGCCATACTGGTGCTATTCGTCGTTATGATGTCAGTTCTCTCTCTCTCTCTCTCTCTCTCTCTCATACGTACACCATACACACCCCATATTTATATCTGCATTAAATTATTAAGCATAATTGTTAGTAAAGTAGTTGTAGTTGACAGTTAACCACATATATAACCCAGTTGGGGTTGGGGGGATCTCCGTCTTAGGTTAACTACACAACCCTCAAGAAACAAAAAGGAAAATATGAAATCTAGTCAAAATGGTATACATGGAGCTTTCTTATTCGAGGAATTAATATACAATAGGATGGGCCTCGGAAAGGACACTTAGGAAAGTAAAGACTTGAGCTAGACGCACAGATGGCTGAAGAGGAATTTGTGATATCTACTGGTTAATTGCTTCTATACTCTTCTAGTTCCAAATATGAAAATAGAAAAAAAAAAAGTATTAAAACAAAAGCAAGTCTACTAGTCTAGTACCTCAAGAAACTCAAAGTCTAATATCACAAGAACCTCCCTATGTCTCTCTCAATCTTCCGTCAGTTTGAAGACTATCTTCCTCTGTTTGCTTGATGGGAGATCCACTCTTGGGATCAGGGAAACCTCGTTCAGGCTTCACTGGTGCCGCTACATCCACTCCATATATTCTACTTACGAACCTTAGTTTTGTCCGGATTTCCGAGTTAAAAATGTTCAATTATTTGTGTCATAGTCAATATTGTAGAATGAAGAAAAAAAAATTGAATTATTGCTCTTTGATCGAGAGCTGAGCTTAGAATAATAGACCATTCTTACCAGTCTACATAGAGATAATACAAATTTAGGTTCCATACTTGTATTCACTTCCTAGGATGTATGAAGCAATAATTTTAAATTCAAAAGCTACAAATATAGAGCCTTGTAAATTTGTAATATTCTTTAAATTCTAAACCTGCCCCACTCTAGATTCTATGCCATTCTAAGCTCCGACTCTGACCATTCATTGTGGGGTTAGTTTCCGCTTAAATTAATTGGGGCCAGGGTTGAATTGGGCCGAGGTTCTACTTCCACCAGAAATAAGAGGGACCAGGACTGAATTGGGTCCATTCACTGACTTCGTACATGGACGGATGTACCCTCTACCTACCCATGAGCCGCCCACCCACCAGAGAATTCTTCGACCCAGCCCTACTCCGAAACTTCTCTTTGTACTTTTCTGGGTCAGTTGAACCAGAGGTGCACACCAAGGTTGGAAATTTTTTGGCTTTGGATGCAGCTATGTTTGTTAGATTGAATTAACGAAATTGTTCAAAACAGAAAAGGAATTAGCAAAAATTCGGGAATAAGTGGAGAAAAAAAAAGCAGAAATCTACAATAAAATATTCATTTTAAGTAATCTAGACCGAGAAATTATATGTGTCCTTATGGGTTTCTCTTTTATTTTAGTTAGTATAATAATGAAGTTGTGATATAACTAATTAATAATAATCTTTAGTTAATTTGTTCTTCAGGTACCTTCCTCCGTATACCTCGTTTCTGCCCATCAAAGATGTGGACTGGTGTTCAAGAAGAAGCGAAAAGAAGAATAAAACAGGAGGAAGGCTTGCAGAAAATCTTAAATTCTCACAGCTTTCTTATTTGGTCATATTCATCATCGCTATTTGCATCACAGAGAGGGAAAAGATGAAAGAAGATCCTCTGAATTTCTCAACAGTGAACATCGTCATAGAAGTTATCAGGTTTGATCCCAGAATAATCTCATATAATTACTCTGTGAACATTATTACATAGATCCACATACTCAAAATGAATGTAAATTATTGGCATGCAGTGCATATGGAAATGTGGGATTTACAGCCGGCTACAGCTGCAAACGGCAGCTCAATCCCCAGGAGTTCTGCAAAGATACGTGGTATGGATTTGTTGGAAGATGGAGCAACAAGGGGAAGGTGATTCTCATCCTTGTTATGTTCTTTGGAAGACTAAAGAAGTTCAACATGGGTGGAGGTAAAGGATGGAAGCTTCTGTAACAGCTGCAGAAATTCAGATTGAAAATTTTTTTACATGTCCTACAACAGGATGGAAGCTCCTGAGAATAACAAGAGAAGTGTATTATATAATGTGTGTTGAGTAAATATCCCTTTACACAGTTTTCTACAAAGATTATTGTGAATATGTAGGAGAAAAGAGAATAGACAGAGAAAAGAAAGAGAATAAATAAAAGATTGGAAAGAATATCTTCCAGACCTTCTCATCTTTCCATTTAGACAGATTGCAATCTCTGAAATTCTCACCGAGTTGGTGGGCCCTTGACTGGTTGGGACCAGGCTCAGGATTTGACCGGGTCAGCTGGACCGCCTGAATCCCATATAGGGTTACTTAGAGTTCAGCAACAAAAAGAAATGTTTGATAATTGAATTGTATTCAAATAATCAAATCTGATCAGGGTAATCCATATTGTTTATGCTTCCAAGACGAGGACTGGCTGATGGGAGATGATGGAATGTCTCTGGCACTGGGTGCATTTCTATACTATTTCGGTTGCATCATTTTGTACCGTCAATAAAAATATCCTTGCCTTAGTGCTTTTTGGGCCAATGCTCTGCCTCCGAGGTGGTTGCCGCAAATGCATTCATGGATCTCTCGGAGCACATATTTGCCCTCCTCTCGGTGGAGGCACTGGAGGTAGGGCAAGGTGAAAGACTTTCAATACAGCTTTCCCTCGAGGAGGGTGTAATGGACTGCCTGCCGTCGGACTCTCCTAGCTTCATTTCTGTCTTTGGGCAATTGCTTGTGTAGCAAATAGGTAATGATGGGGTCCATCAAACAAGAAAAGTCTTGTATAGGGAGCACCTAGATTTCTTTAATGCTGGGGCATGCTAACTTCTCAATGCAGACCGTGCGGCCAAGGGTTGTGCCTGAGGTGCTTGCCAATTTGGATAGGGCATCGACTCTCATGTTTTCAAACTGTAGGACTTGCAACAAAGTGAAGTGTTGGAAGTGGCGGACGAGCTCTTGCACCTTAGTCGGGTATTTGGCCATGCTATGTTCTCTGGCTTTGTATTCATCGTTAACTCGGTTCACCACCAGTTAGGAGTCAGTAAAGACTTTAATGTGCTGGGAGTAGAGGTCCTTGGTGATTTATAGGCCTGTGAATAGGGCTTCGTACTTGGCTTTAATGTTAGAGGCCGAGAAGTCAAACCTTAACACATACTCTACTTCGGTGTTGTTTGGGGTGAGGAGTACGAGACCTGCTCCACTTCTCTTGGAGTTGGAGGATCCCTCAACAAATGGCTTCTAGGTCGATCGAGGTCCCTCCGCCTCTTCTGGGGATTGGCTGAAGGTGCATTCTTCTATGAAGTCAACTAAGGCCTACGCTTTGATTATAGGCCTCGACTGATACTATAAGTCAAATTTAGACAACACGATGGCCCACTTGGTCAGTCGTCCCGAAATCTCTAGCTTAGCAAGGATGGTCTTGAGGGGATGGTTGGTTAAGACCGTGATGTTGTGGGCTTGGAAATACGACCAGAGTTTCCTGGCCAAGACCACTAAAGCAAAGGCCAATTTATCCACTTCGGGGTAGCGGGTCTCGGCGTCGTAGAGGACCTTATTGGCATAGTAGATAGGCCTTTGCACCTCATCCTCTCTTATCAAAACAGAGTTGACTGCTTCATCTCCTACTGAGAGGTATAGGTACAACATGTCTCCTGGGTTCGGCTGAGTAGGGGTGGCAAGGCGAGGTAGGACTTCATCTCTTCAAAAGTAACGATTGGCCGACTTTAACATCAAATGGTTGAGGGCAACCACTAGGCCCGTAAGCCTTTGAATTTTCTTGATCGACCGAGGCAGGGTCATGTCATGGATGGCCTGAATCTTTTCTAGGTTGGCCTCTATACCCCTTTGCATGACGGCGAAGCCTAGAAACTTGCCGATAGTGGCGCCGAAGGCACACTCTCTTGGATTGAGCATCATGTTGTATTTTCACAAGGTGTCAAAGGTCTCAGCTAAGTCCAAGGTGTACTGGTCGGCCCTTAGGCTCTTCACAACCATGTCATCCACATAGGCCTCGACGTTTCTCCCTATTTGGTGGTTGAAGACCTTGTTCACTAGCCGTTGGTAGGTGGCTCTGACGTTTTTGATGCCGAAGGGCATGACCCTGTAATAGTACGTGCAATGCTCATTGATGAATGAAGTCTTCTCCTCATCCTCGAGGTAAATCTTGATTTGGTTATACCCGTAGAAGGCATCCATAAAGCTGAGTAACTCGTACCTTGTAGTGGTGTCAATGAGGTGGTCAATTCTTGGCAATGGAAAACTGTCTTTAGGGAAAGCTCGATTGAGTTCTATGAAGTGAACACAAATCCGTCACTTCCCATTAGCCTTCTTTTCCATAACCATGTTAGACAACCAGTTAGGGTAATGTACCTCTCGGATGAAGCCAATGTCGAGTAACTTATCAACTTCTTCTCCGATGGCTTTCCAATGTTTCGGTGAAAAGTTCCTCTTCTTGTACCGAACTAGCCTAGAGCTCGGGCCCACGCTCATCTTGTGAGTAATGATCGAAGGGTCAATTCCGGGCATGTCAGCGGTAAACCAAGCAAAGACATTGGCATTAGCTTTGAAGAAACTTACCAACTCAGAAAGGCTATTTGGAGGAAGGTAGGACCCGATGCGCATCATTTTCTAGGGCTTAGCCTCGTCCAGGGGTACTAAGATGAGGTCCGTGGCTGGCTGGCCTCGACTCACTGGCTCCTCCTTAAGGTCGTGGCTCTCTAATGGTAGAGCTTCTTTTTTCTTACCCTTTAGTGCTGCCACATAGCACTGGCGTGGTAGTTTGCTGATCCCCCCGGATAACTCCGACGTTGTGTTCGGTGGGGAACTTAAGGACTAGGTGGTAAGAGGAAATGGCATCCTTGAGTGCGTGGAGGGTTGGATGTCTGGCGATAGCATTGTAGGGGGAGCTGATCTTCACGACTAGGAACTCATTTGTCCTCGTTACTTGCCGAGGTTCTGTCCCTACTATGACTAGTAGGGTGATTCATCCAATGAGTGGCACGTCTGTAGGTTGGAGGCATTCGAGCGCCAGCTTCATCTTCTCAAAGAAGTCGTAGAAGAGGATGTCGGCTGAGGAGGCACTATCGACTAGTATCCTCTTCACCATGAAGTTTTCGACAATGGTTGATACTACTAGTGTGTCATCATGGGGGACCGAGATCCCCTTCAAGTCCTCATCCGTAGAGGTGAGGTCTCTGTTCTACTTTAGCTTCTTAGGAGCTGACCCCTTGATGTTTAGTTGTCTGACGTAGGCTTTCCGGGCCAAGGCTGAGGTGTGACCCGAGGTCGTTCCCCCGATGATGACATCGATGATGCCGACTAACTACTGCATATTGTTGTTGTTGCAAGGACAAGGCGCCAACCTTGCCACCCACGTACTCCTTTAGGTGGCCATGGCAGATGAGGGACTCTATGTCATTCTTCAATTCATAGAAGTCCTTGGTGTCATGGTCAGTGCCATGATAGTACTTGTAGTACTTCTTTGGGTTATCCCTCTTGAGGTTCATATTCATCTTCTCGGGCCACTTCACATACTCCTCCTTCCCTACTTGCATGAGGATTTGTGTTCGGGTTGAGTTGAGTGGCATGTATTTGTTATAAGCCAAGGCTGAGGCCAAAGGCTTCTTGTTGTCCTTGTTGTCCTTGTTGTTGTTGTTGTCATTGTGGACGTCTCCATTTCTCTTCTTCTTCGGGCCTCAATGGTAATGGTTGGCCTCTCCTTCTTGGCGTTCACCGGCCAAGGCCTATTTGGCGGCGATGTACTTTTGGGATTTCTTCAAAAACTTTGCCTTGGATTTGCACGATGTCTTAGCAACGAAGCATTTGACGACTGAGCTTGGCAGGAGTTTATTGATGGCTGCGTGCATGAAAACCATGGGGTTGAGGTCTCGAACCTCAATTTCCTCCTTGAAGCAGTCGATGTAGGACCACAAGCTCTCGCCACATTTTTTTCCAAATGGTCATGAGTGAGACGACGCTCTTCTAGCATTGTTGGCTACTAATGAAGTTGGTGAGGAAGAGACTGGCGAACTGCTCCCATGAGTTGATGGATTGAGGGGGGAACCCGGAAAACCATTGGCTGGCTGCTCTCTTGAAGGTTGCCTAGAAGGCTTGGCACATCAATGTATCAATGTACCCATGGAGGAGCATGAGTGCCCCAAAACTCTCCAAGTGGTCGTTCAGGTCGGTGCTTCTGTCATATATCTCGAGTGTCAGGGCTTTGAAATGCAGTGGGAGGGGCTCCAAGGTGATATCGGTAGTGAAGACATCTATTTTCCCAAAGACGAAGGGTTCTGACTTGCTGAGGCATTGACTCGGCTTTCCTTAACCAAGCAGAGTTCATCTTTCACAGTGTTGAGTTTCGCCGGCAAGTCAATGATCTTTTAGTCAATGGGAGATTGGGCCCCGTCTTGGTCCTCCCAAATGCGAAACAAGTCGGACTTATTCCCCGAGTATTTCGACATGGACGCGTTTCAGTTCATTCTGTCTCGTCAGTCGTTCAGGAGCTCTTAGAGGTCCAAGACACGACAAGGAGAGGGGTGGTGTCGGCCCTCAACCCTCAGAGGTGGGCTATGGTGGCCCAATCTTCTGCCTTCATTTCGGGGGATTTCTTGTTGGCTGTGATGTCCTTCATCTCAGCGGTGATCACGAGACCGTGCTGAGTTGTCCCCTCATCGATTAGGGGGTTAGAAGGCCCTTGGAGGTTGACTGGTGCGTCGGCCCTGTTGATTCTGATCGGGTGTAAAGATAGCAGGTCTAGAGATGATCATCCTCTATGGTTCCTCAGGCTCCCAACGGGGGGGTGGCTACCCTATGGGCAACCTTTTGTTGAGTGCCCCACCTCGCCCAGCCTCTACATGATGTTGTCGAGCCTGTTGAGGACCACCTAGAATTGGTCCATCGTGACCAAGTTTTGAGCATTCCTTGTGTTTCTTGCCATCTTAACATGTTTCTTGCCATCTTAACAAAATCTTAGAGGTTGATTTTAAGGTGAGTTTTTTTAATCCAGGGAAGTCTTAGCAACGCCTCCTACAGACGGCACCAATTGTTGCTGCATTGGATGGGCTGAGGTCAACAAGGTAATTATGCTTCCGAGACAAGGGCTGGCTGATGAATCCGAGGTCGAATGTGGCTGAGCCTATAGGTCTGTCTTGCGGAGGAAGAGAACACGTTAGAGGCCCTGGGAGCTAACCCAAAGCGGAGACTCAAATGGTCAAGTTAGCAAAGGTGTGATGGGAGGTGGACGAAGCCTGAGCTAGGATAGCTCAGACGAGGTCATAGGGGAAGTAATTAAACTCCAAGTAGTAGAGAGTCTAGAACCCTCACCTTAGTGGGTCATCCCCTATTTATACTTGAGACCACCTAGAGGTAGGTGCACACAAACGGTCAGGATGCAGTTCAACCTTGTGTGCACAGCCATCTGAGGTCATGGTGTGCGACCGTGCCATTGGACCTGCGTTACACGTCGACTTTTGCAACGCACAACGCCCCTATTGGATCCACGTTGTACGCCACCCTCTATCATGTGTGAAAATTCTACCAGTTTTCCATGATCGCCTACATCACAATGTAATCCAATTATAAAGGGATCGAATTCTTGATGACCTTTAACCTAATTGAATACGGATTCATTTGGACAACTAGATAGCCCTAGATTATTAGAACTATACCTAGTGGTGACGGGCTTCCATGTTAGCTAGTTATAAAGGGCCAACCCAAATTAACCTAGTACCTAAACAAACTGAA